AGGTGCTCAAAATTTACACCTACATTGTTTTTTTGAGATGTGGGCACTTTTTTTGAGCGCCTACAGGCCGGACTTCCAATTTAGGCGCTCAAATACTACGTCGACATATGAAAATGGGAATTTAGGTGCTCAACAATGACACCTACATCTTTATTTGGAGATGTAGGCATAATTTTCAAGTGCCCACACATCAAATTTGACATGTAGGTCCTCAAAAATGACGCGTACATTATAGTGTAATCAAATGACAACTACATTTAATCTTTTAGATGTAGGCGTAACCAAATGACGCCTATATCCCCAATGTGGGCGCTCTTTTGTGGAAATCACCCATGTAGGCCCTATTCTGGCAGTACCTACATGGTGTTTTGCGGGCTGCAAATAGCAACAGCCTATAAATATCTACTGTAGACTCTTGAAAATAAAACTGTTGAGTAACTTCAGAAAATTTGCCTTCTCCCATGAAGGACGCAACTAACCGGTACAGATAATTAGGTTTGCGTAGAGTCAACAAAAATGTCATCAATGTGGTCACCTAGATGATCCATCAAGTAGTTTTCAGAATATTGTCAATTGTGACAAAATGTATCTTATAAACCTTGATCAAATTACATTTTGACCTTTGAACAAAGAACAATCAAATACATTTAGTCCAGATTTTTCCAATGGTGAACCCAAATAAAGCAGTAAAAAAGTTTCCAAAATTGATCCCAGTAGAAGGGTAGACTTTGATGACAGTCATTGTCTAATTGATTGATATTGCCATATCTCAATCATTTTGACAATTATATATATTCATTCAGCTTTATTCATGACTCATTATTACCTGTAGCCACTTCTTCTTTTTGAGGGTGAAGATTAGAATCTTGGAAAAGCTTTGAAAGTTGTCAAGTTTGGCTTTAATTAGTATGTCATCAGATTCTGTTAAGTTTGAGTCATTGAGCAATGTTTACCTTCGATAAATACTGTAATCTGAATGTACGTGAATTTATCAGACTCTGCTTAGATAGTGCTCAATCATAATTATTTCAATTTGGAAGACTTGGTCCAGAGCAGAAAATTTCAATGGTGTTACTTCATCCAGACTTCAACTAATTTGTATTCAAGGAAGATTGCAAGATAATCAATTTGGTTAATTGGAACCATCAACAACACCAATTACATTGGATTAATTTCTTGTTTTTACAATCAACATTGCTCTTGGTATCATAATTGAATAATTCTCACTTCATCCTAAAGAAGAAACAAAAAAAGTTGAAGATTTGGTGAAAGAAGAGTTCAATATGTATGATTGAGAGACAGAAATGATGTACTGTTCCTCCTCCACTTCCTCTACAAATAATTGGCACACTCTTCTTCCTAGGCTAACAATATTCACCTCAGTCCATGGATTCTGTTATAGATAAGAATATAAATTTGATAAGTCAATTCCATGATGAATTCTATGCAGATAGTAAGAATCTCATACTTGATTCTGGCATATTATAATGCGTTACATTAAATCAGTAATTGTGGTAAAGAAGCAGTGGTGTTCCTGAGCAATCTTAAAATGACCATAAAAGTTAATGCTTTTGCAAGTCATGTTTGAAATATTTGGAAATGAGTGATTAAACTTACAAAGTATCATAAGATAAATCAAGAAATAATTATATAATTATATAATTAACCTGGATGAGGTCTCATAATTTAAAACAGTTGCCAGGAGTCAGTTCAGAAAAAATATATTGGATACAAAGGGAATTCAGTTGAACCTAACTATTTTTGACGACTGAGATTGCAAATTTTTGAGCTTTGAGAATTGAGTGGATATTTATCTTGATCTGAGTTTGTTTCTCACTTTGTGATCTGATAATCATTTGATTCACTTGAAATAAATTCAAAGCTTGATAAACCTGATTTATCAGGTCCACATCCAATACATGCAGTATCAAGCTTTAAGACCTCAAGTATCAAATTAATCTGACTTTAATACTTCTTGAACAAAGTAATCTTCTGCTCTAGCAAATCTATCCCACTTGATTAAGATTTCCATATAGTCTGTCTTGTACAACAAATTGTGGTCTATCTGGATACTTTCATACATTCAGTGATTTCATTATTCTTCTCATGATTCCAATCCCTTGTCCCAATCTTGATACTAATTTAAAGATCTCAGAAATCAATTTTATGTCTATTGTTTAAATTTGAAGTTAAAGTGGAGGTGGATTGGATTGAATCATTCATTCAATTTTGAAGTGAAGAATTGATTTGTTGTGTTTTACTGATATAAAGAGACTGAGATTTTAGCTGTTGAATCAAAATGTATAACTGTATAATCCTCTTGAATGGACTCACTGTTTTGGTGTCTTCTTCAATCCAATACTATGGATTGGCGCTCAAGATGCTCTTTGATGACACACAAGTGCTGGTTCCATGAGAGTATACCACAATCCACCAGTCCATATTGACAGGAACACAAGCAGTGGGGATTGTTGATACGCTTGCACATTTGTCTAGTGCAGTTCCTTTGACCAAATTTGTGGATGAGGTTGAACCCGGATAGTATTCAAAGATAAGTTATTTGATGGAGCTCAAAGCTTTGGATTGCGTAGGCTTTTCTGGTAAATCCAAAATGAGTGCCCCTGAAATGAATGTGTTGCTATTCTTCTTGGACCAGTCATTATTGAGACTGAAAGTGGCCAAGGTGCTTGATAAGCTAGGATGAGCATTGCAAGCAGCTGCACCAACCGCAGTGCCAGAAAACAATTTCAAAATCTCTGAATTGACTTTTTGTGCTTCAGAGCAATAGATGAATATACTTTGTTCCTGATGGCAAGGGATGGCCTTGCCATTATCCGGCTAAAGTGTACCACAGCACCTCCATCTTTGTCAAGTGCAACAATCAATGTGACAGGATTCTTTTGCATTCTTGGCGCTGCATTCCAGATTGAATTACTTCTGGTCAAAATATGACCACCAATGCAAAAAGGCAGCAAAGTATCAAGAGGAGCTGGAAACTGTATTTTCTGGCCAGAAGAGGGGCTTAACAGGAAGTGTTCATAAGTCAAATAAATATAATATGGCTACAAGGTAGAATGAGATCAGTGTGATGAAACTTGATACTTTTGCAAGTAATTATCACATACTGAGTATCCCCAAGATAGACATGCATTTTGGTCCGCCTTTCTATCATAAGAGGCTTCACAAGTGATCCAGAAGAGCTGATAGAAATGATCATCAATTGCAAATCTGATAAATTAAGAAATGGCAGGTGTCTCATAGAAATCACGTATTAGTGATAAACACAGCACAGCAGCTAGTAGGTATCACTAAGAAGTGAGTAGAGAAAGAAGAGCACCTGTTGTAAGGTGACAAAAGTAAAGAGATGAAATGTTTGAGTGAAGAAACAATTAACATGCAAACAAGAACTCTTTATATATGGGGATTCTCTCTAGACATAGGCCTGGTGAACAAATAAAGTTGTGAATATCATTCACCGCATTGGTATTAGTTGGTACAGTGCGCAAAAGGAATGGAGCAACAGAACAAAATGGAAGGAATCTGATGAGCTCAAAGCGGAGGTGTAGGATGGTAACTATTGTAACAGGAATGAGAAATGGCAAATTCAATACCCCCCTCAATAGTAAACATCCTACAATCTAACGAAACTAAGGAAGTCTTGATTTTGTAGCTGTTTGAAGTGATTTGGTGCATACTAACAACACAGTGGAGGACAGCAGGGGGTTAGTATGCTAGTCGAGTGTGAATGGAGGGTAATTTGATCACATTAGTAATGATCATCCATTTCTTGAAGAGTTGAAGTGAAGTGGTGTAAGTTGATCTTGCAATAAAATGAGTGATTTTGAATCGGAGTGATATACGTGTGAGCAATGGGTGCCAAATACTCTGTGAAAAGCACTTGAATAGATAGTTAGTACAAATCAATGATTAAAAATGGACAGTGTTGAGAGAAATAAGTCTACTCTACACTGATTAGATCAAGTAGGAAGAATGAAATTCTATTTTGAAATAACAAAGTGTTGAAAGCAAATCAAGAAGGAAGAACTTGAGGTTGATGAGAGGATTACAATATCTTGAGCTTTACTACAGCTAACCGAATTCTAGATGAAGCAATCATTGACATATGTCTTTTCTAGTTGAGATTGAGAAGAATACATATGTGGATTGTCTCAAGGGTACATTAAGTTGAATCAATTCAAGTGCATTGATTGGAACAGTTAATTGAGTTGAAGGAAGTTGAAAGATGAGGCCACGACGTGATGATCGGCCTGGATGGAATTAAATAGATGACCAGGTATGATTCCAGTCAGCCACGGCGAAGCAAGGGGATTACCGAGATCGACCAATAAAGCATTGATGGCAGTAAACCAAAGCAAATACTGAATGTGAACAACTAAAGGGTTGATTGGATGATATTGGATTGATGTTATTGAATTTAACCCAAAGTCTTCACGATAAGCTGATATGAATTGGACCATATGAAGTAGCGAGTCGAGGTGTGTGCTGATATCAAAAAAGAAATCAAAGGAGTTGGACAATTGATGAGTTCAAAAGATGTGATTCTGGTGGCGCAGGGCAGACTTCCACATGCGATTGATGATGATTCCAGTAAGACGAAGGGAACATTGCGTATTGTGGGCTAAAACTCCAGAACTTAGGCGAAGGGTTTCAAGTACCAATGAAATTGTGTCGGAAGCAGCACTGACACAGTCATATGAGCACCTGCAAAAGAGTTTTCAAAAATAAGACTTGTACCACACTGGCAACAGTGTATATCTAAGTTTGATCATGCCAGCCATGCAACCGCGGAATGGATCATTACAGATACGTCTCCCTTTGTTTTGTGTTGATGTGAGTGTGCGCCCGGAAGAGCAGGAAGAAAGCTCTGCCTGATACCATCTGATAAACATAAGTTCAATATTTTCAATATGCATGCCACAGATCAAAGCTCATGAAGTACAGACCTTGTCTATATCTAATCTTGACAATCCGGTCCAACATCACTCTTTGTATTCGGATCCATCTGGAAGCTTCGCAAAAACTTTGTGCTCAACAGTCTTTGGAGACACAGTAATCAAAGAACATTTGAAATTTGGATCAACAATTGTGACAAGCTGGAGGTAACAGGTTAGCTTATACTTGAGGTTGAAGGCTAACTAACCTTACGGCCAGTTGTGATCATCTCCGATGGGTCTGCAAAGGTGTTCTTGTGCCAAACAAGGTAATTGTGTTCCTCAGTGTATTCGATATCAAGAGTGGTTGATAATCGTGGCAAGCTTTCCGCCATTGACTATTATGGTGTCAATATTGGTGGAGTTGTCTGTGGAAGGGGGCATAAGGTTAGGTAGTTTTGGCCAAACAAATGACGGGCTTAAGGGTTTAATCGAGTTTTGCCGGGAAACATGGTTGTGCCTTTAGTGTTATGATCATCACATTCGGACTTGTGATTGGTTTCCGGTTCTTCAGGGACATTAGTACTGTTACGAGTTGTTTTCTGGAGGAGTACAATTGGTTTCCGGAGTGGCCTCCGGATCATTTTCTATGATTACTGGTTCAGTTGATTCTTCATCATCTTCAGCAATTACAGGCAAAGTTCCTGAGATTGGGAAGACTCCGAGTAGGGCTTCACGCTGCTGGGTTCAAGATGGTGCTGTTTGACCGAACTCGGTCAAACTGCCTTTGACAGTTGAAGAGATCTTGTGGAGAAATCACCAAGCATAGTTGGTATTTGGATCCCATGTGTAAGATTGGGCTGAAGTTTTTGAACGTGACATATCTTCTGTGTCAATTTCATTGCTCTCTTCAAGTAAAAACTGAGTATGCATTTTTTTGGCCATAGTGATGTTGTTTGACCCGGAAACAGTAACCTGAGCCAGCATGTGGAAATTTTCAGTAGACTTCATAACATCAAAGTTGGACAGCATGAGAATTTAATAGACTTACCTTGTGATGAAGCCCGTGCTTTTTCATAACATAAACTAAAGGCTGGGCAAGTCAAACCCCTTTGTGATGCCACACAATCAACTTCAGTGTTAAATGGCAAACCTGATAAGCCCAATTTTCATCTATGAATGTGACTGCTGCACTCAAAAAGGCATGAATATTGTTGTCCGTGGTCCAGCCATCATGTGGCAATCTAGGCTCTTGTGTCCATTGAGAAGGTTTCCCATGCTTCTTGCTCCGGGCCACCTGTGGTGAATCATCTGCTGGGCTCTGTTGCTTGCGCAAAGTGGTCTTGGAGCGCAAGGATTGAGTAAGGGAGATTGTTGCCCGGCCATCCGAAGACGGCGGGATCATCCCGGGTACGCTCTTACAAGGGGTTGGAGGTTGTTGGGAACGGTGAAGTGGTGTTGAAGCTTGGATTGGTGAAGGAAGTGTTTCCTCAGGTGAAGGACTGCTGGCCATGAAAAATTAAATGTGTGTATGTTTTTAAGATTGATAGGAGTTGAAGGCACAGATTTTGCCAATGTTGCGATCCAGGAGGGATGTTGCTCTGACAATTTGAGCTTGGAAGTTTGTTATATCACAATAATATTACATTTTATTTACAATTGGGAAAAAGATGGATAGACCCGACCATGACGTCAAAAGTTTCAGTAGATTCATTTGTCTTTCTTATTTCCTTACTATACAAAATTGAGATTGGATAAGGAAGCAAGGGGTGACAAGTGACATATTTGAATACACCACGCATTCACCCTGCCCTGGGCCCATAGCCCGCTGCCACCCTTGCTTCAGTTGCATTGCTCTGCAACGCAACGCAACATGGGAAAGCCTCTGGCTCTGAGGAGCAATGCAACTTGCAGCAGACAAAGCAGTTGCGTTGCCACCTAACAGCAATGTGTTGTGTTGCTGCGCATTGCGCACTTTTTGCAATGCAGCGGCCCATCGTTGCAAATGGCTGGACCAGAACTTAATCTGATGTTTACCTGTGACATAGGAGCTGAATTCAGAAGTGCAAAGAGATATAGAGCTTCAGCAAGACCACAATTGTTGACAGACAAAATGTGAGTGATGTGGGATGTGTATCGAACTTACACAAGCCATGGTTTGGCTACAAGGGACATTACAAACAGTGGTGCCACAATATTGTATGAATGTGATACTAGAATGCAAGCCAAAAGTAAAGTTTTACTATTAATTAGTTCTCTGCTACATCATGGGTCTGTAATTGTCTGGGTTTGATCTGAGGGTTGATACCTACAAAGATGATTTAGGTTGTGTGGTTGTGATACTTTGAAAGACTTGTCATAGTCATTGTATGTTTTAGGTGAAGCAGTCTTTTGCAACACTTTAGGTAAACTGTCTGTTTGTGACAAAGTTGTCACCCAGCTATCTGAAGACGCCAGAGGGCAGATCCCCTGGATGTCTAAGTTTGATGGCTGATCAATATTGGGGAGCTTTTGATAAACTGTACAACCTGTGGCGTTGTTTGGTCTGATCCACATCAGACTTTCAGAAATCCTCTTTATTTGGCTTCAAAACTGACGGAAAAAGCT